CTTATCATAGTCTAAAATAAACTAGTACTTTTACCTCTTCCTCAACAATGCAAGGGCCTTAGAACATTTTAAATCCATTTACTCCCTTCTACCACCTTACATGCAACTGCCATGTGTTGTGATTATTTCTATTATACCCGTTTAAGACATAATTGTTATTATTTAACACTTGCATATTTATCTTCTCTGTTGTCCTTCATTCCTACCTGATTCTCCAAGTTTTCATCTAGAGACATTTTCTTCTATCTGAAGAACATTCCAGTATTTCTTTAAAGTGAGGGACCACTGGTGATGAATTCCCCCAATTCTTATTTTAAAAATGTATTTCATCATTTCTCTTGATTTCATGATCACCTCATCTCCCAATACAACTAGTTATTTCTGATTGAGTGTCAGACACTGTTTATGAAAAATCATGGAAACCATTTGATGCCTAGGATAATGCTATCTTTCTCCAGAGAGAATTTACTTTTGCTTCTGGTAAGCAACCGAGGAGCTAGCAAATCTAGGCCATCTTAATGCAATCAGGAACAGGTGCCAGCTTCAACAAGCTAGTCCATAACTTATTAGTGTTAACTACTCCTGGGAAGTGATCCTTTAGGTTTGTGGGACCTAAACTCTAATCTTTATCAATCTACCCCCATAAGCCCATTAAAGCTCTATTAAATTTCTCAGCCTATTAGCTTCTTCTTCCAGAATAAACAGGTGCCCCCTAGTAGAGAAATGGCTCAAATGCTATTCTCCTCTCTCTGGATTTCTTTCTTTTCCCAGATCTTGGTCCTATAATTCTTTACTTTTATATTAGCCCACTGGTCCATCTTTTTAAATTGTCCTCAGCAGGAGGGTTGGTCCAAAGTTATCTAGTCTTATCAATCATATGTCCATGGCTGTACCAAACAAGAGTACCTCACATACTTGCACAGGAAAATGCTAGCTATGTTAGGTTCCCAACTAGGAATGCCTGCAACCAATCAACCAGCTCGGTTTTTTTATACTGACCAAGAAATCAACTGTGATTGACTGAGAAAAACAACAGGAAGTCTTTAAGGTTTTAGAACAAGAAAGTATGCCCATCAAATTAGCATTTTTGGAAGATCATTAAGCCAAAAGAACAGACTACAGAAAGGCAGACCAGTTAGGAGACTACTGCACTAGTGCAGGCATGAGCCAGTAATGACACGGGAAAGGATGACAGTGATGGGAATGAAGCCATGAGATTATCGTATTCTACCAACCCTGACTATCACCTGGAAATGAGGTAAGGGAGAAAAAAGGAATCAAAGGTGAATATGAAATCTCAAGTCTGAGAGTAAAGCTGATTTGGCAGAAGAGGAACTTAGATTCAGACATACATATGAAGTATTCATAAGAAGAAATTCAAGTTGAAATGTCTAAGTAAGTATTTGGAAAACCTGGTTTGAGCCCTCATCAAAAGTATAGTCATTGCTAAAAGTTTCAACAGAATTTTCCAAAACTAACCAGAATATCATTTACTAAACTAATAAACCAATTTTCTCTCTATGGTCATCTATTTCCATTCACTGGTGTATCAAAAAGTCAGAACTGAAAAACTGACATTTTGAGGTTTTGGAGACATGGGAAAAGGAAAATAAAATAGAGATGTTCATTATCACATTTAAAGCAGAGGAGTTAAGCATAAGGGGGTAGAATGGTTTTAAAAAACTAAGGCAAAATGTATGTCACAGTTCAAATAATCTAGTAGTAAGAAAGCAGAGAAATACAGGCAGTAAAACCCAATAGTATGCAGAATACCAAGTGGGTTTAGCTACTTAAGTGGTTTTATAAACTTAACAATAAAAAAATGTTTTGAAGTGAACTGAAGTGGTTAAAAAGGTCATTTTTTCCAAAATAAAATATGGTGTTTTTTTTTTAAGGTGAAGCAAGTTAGATTATGTTATTTTATAAAAAAAAATATTTAGGTTCAACAAATTAAAATCATCTTTTAAAATCTCTAGAAACAGTATTCTCTAGCTTTTAAGTCAGTAACTGGGGAGTATGAAATACTGTATCATATACTCTTGAGTCCCTCCAACATGACATGGCTTTTGATAGAGATAATTAAGTCACTCTGACACAGTTTACAGTTTACATAGAGGCCAGTTGCTATTTTAAGATGCCCTTGAAAGATAGAGGCTGATGCCCTAAAGGTCCGACTCATTGATTTATCAACCCCAACACTAAATTTCTGATTATCTGCCAAATGCAACTCATCCCACCTTTTGTTTTAGCTCATAATATTTCATTACTAAAATCAGAGCTGCAAACAAAACACTCCAGCCAAATAAAACTTTCCTGCCTCATAGGGCCTGGCTTATACTCTTGTTCTGTCCCGAATGAAAACTGCCCCTTAAAGTCTCTGTAAAGCAGAGATTACACCAGGATTATGCCACATACTTGTAACACTGAATAAATAAATAAACTGAGTTAACTTAACAATGAATAAATTAGTAAAATGCCAAAGCATCTGAGGAACATAAAGGTTAGTGGTCATATAAGGCTAATTATGCTTCTCTTCCCACTGGAACAGGTCAAGTTTGATGCTGAGCGTTCATTCAGTAAGCATTTGCAGAGCTGGAACTGTGCTAGGCACTAAGGGTAAAAAGACAGCAAGACAGAGTCTCTGCCCTCAAAGGAGGACAGACCTGTGAGGCGGCCAGACAGGGACACGGGAACGGAAACAGTACACACGCTCTCTGCTCTAATAGAGCTGTTATTGCCAAGATGCTATGAATACACAGAAGAACTTCCAACGGTCTGTTCTGCTTTGTTTTAAGGGGAGTATAAGGATTCCAGGAAGACCTTACACAGGTGGACACATACGAGTTTAAGCCTGAGAAAAGAATGAAGCATTTGCCAAGCAGGAAGCAGAAGAAAAAATATCTTAGAACTTGGCTTAAAGGAACCAGATATTTCTGCAAAGCCATGTCATTTAATGTTGAGAAAATTTACAAGATGATATGAGCATGTTTAATCAAGAGGCACACAGCTGCCAAGTGGCAGAGGTGAGACCAGAGCCCAGGTCCCCACGTTTTTATCCACTTTACTCTGCTATTTAATAATGGGTTTGACTTTACAGTCTTGCAAAAGAGATGATTTTGAAGTAAGGTTTGTTTACAGTCCCATATTGCTGAACTCAAAGCAAGACTGTACTGAGTCTAAAAATAAACTAAATTCCCTGGTTTTACATCTAATGTTACTTTCACATTTATCAATATGGCTTTTCAAATACTAACATCAAAAGAGATTATCACCCTTGTCTATGTTTTAATTTTTGTAAGAATTATTCCTATATTAATACAAAACAAAAATTCTTTCATTTCCTAATACACTATACTAGTAATGGTGAGAGAAAACCAGCATTTTGATACATACAGAACTGGTGGGAGAGGGTCACTTGCTACAACTTTTGTGAATGCAGTATGGACACGGTAAACGACATGACAGGCAGATCTCGGAGATGTGGGTTCAGTTGCAGACCATCGCAGTAAAGTGAAATGACACAATAAAGCGAAAATATCAGTAAATCGAGACACACAAACTTTTTAGTTTAGTGAGATTGTATTTAAAAAGTTCAAGGAACTGAAATAAATTCAGTGTGCAGGAGCAGAGAGGTAAGATCAGGCTGCAGAAATAAGCAGTAGTCAGATAATGAAAGGTTTTCGAAATCGTATTAAGAAGCTTAGACTTTATTCTGATAGAAACATGATAATCAGAGCTGTGCTTTAGAAACAGTCACCCTGAATGAAATGCAAGAAGTCAGACGTGTTAAGCCTAGAGGCAGAGCACCAGTTAAGATGGGCGTTTCAGTAAAACATTTGAGATGTGGCCCAGACTGGGCAGTGGCAAGTGAACAGAAGTGGACAAGAGCCAAGAGAGAAACAGAAAGTAAACAGGACTTGGCAGTAAGCGGGATACAGGGAGTCAGGGAGAGAGTAAAGTCAAGAGTTAGTAGCAGACTATTCAAAGCTGTAACGCACAGATCTTAGGTTTCATCTATAATTTACATATGATGTCTAGCACTAAATACATCTGTTAAATGAATGAAGATTTTGTATTTAATGGCAAAAGATGAAGAAAACAATTTATACTAACAATAGGAAAAGATATATTTGGCTATGATAAACACAGCTCGGGCTATAATTAAAAAAAAAAGCTACAAGTGTAACAACGTTTGGAGTAAATAAGACTAAGGTGTCTCAGAGCGCACGGCAAGTGGGGAACAAAATTCAAGCCGTGGCCCAGCATCTGCTGCGAGAGACTCCGTATTTCAGAACGGCCGGGGCACTTCCTAACCGTGGTGCAGACCCGGCTGGTCTAGTGCTGAGGACCTGTCCACACATCTTGTAGCTTCCACACAGTGACTAAAACCACGATCTGGCCCTGGAACAAAGACAGTACCTGACCTTCAAGCACTGAAATTTTGCAGAAGTGAGGAGGGGCAGAATGGGATCAAGAGGCCAAGCGCTTCCTTTAACAAAATATCTTCCACAATTCGCCCCAGGCTTTACAGCTGGGATGATGTTTATCTTTAAAAGGTGTATCAACAAAATGCTGACCTCAGTTGTTTATATTAGCAAATGTTAGAAACTGGTAGGCAACTCACACTTAAAAGATAGTAATAAAAAAAAAGTTCCAGAAAAAAATTAAAATATACACATACATTTATATTATAAAAGTCTTCAAATAATGAAGTTAACAAAGTAAGATTTTCAATGAAGAAATGCTGACATGGTAACAAATGGAATCAGTTAAAGTCTGAAATACATTCAATCTAAACATTTCCACAGTTTATGTTAAAATTCCAGATTAACAATCTATTCCAAAGATAAAATGATCTGATCAATAGTCACCTAAAAATATTTATAAATTTATATTACAATCAAATTAACAAGCCTCCAAAGGAATAATATACAGGTTAATTCAAACCAGTCAGAAAATCCCAAAGCAGCAAAAATCAATACAATCAGTTAGTTCTTTACCTGCAGCTCCTTTGAAACTCTCTCTAAGTGATTAGTTATCTTTTTAATCAGATCACTATACATCTGTTCCGAGTGCTGCTGGCACACACATTTATACACACAACTGTGGGGGGGGGGGACAGAAAAACCAAGTTAACAATGAAGCACTTAATTCAACCTATGGTTAAAGCATACTTTCAACATACAGCCACCCATCAAATAATTAATTCAGGCCTAAAAAAATGACCAATCACAACTCAAATAAAAATATATCCCATCCCAGTCAGTGTTCAGACGGGAGAGACATTATCACCAGCTACAAATTATCTTTTTGGGTACTCTGTTAAATATTTTATTAGTACTAGACAATCCAGTATTGGGTGGTAATCTGAGAGTTTGACTATGATAACTACTTATAAACCAGCTTCTCTCTCATTTTAATGAGTGTCAAAATAAGGAAGAGAGAGTGATAATCAGCACAAAGTTTCTAACTCAGAATCGCTGTGCATCACTTGTACAGAACAACACAGTTGTCCTCCTCTTCTGACTGGACTGATTTCACATCCCACCCTAGTTCCTCATTAATTTGCTGCTTCCATTTACCAGGAGATGGGAAACAAAACAATCAAAGATAGTTAGAATTGCGTCATTAAAATCAACAGATTAAATTAGCGTCTCCCTGTGAGACTAAAAATACATACTGTTTTGCCTTTTTCACTGACCTCCATAATTTCTGCATTATGTATGGCAGGGATGGCGGGGCTGAGGTGCGATTAACACTATCCTGGTTTGAAAACCAATTTTGAAGCAAAAAGTGTAACTCAAACCTCCAATCCACAAGTGTGTAACATATAAATAACCTACAGAGCCCCATTTTAGGTATGATAGATCATACACACACTTACTGTCATCATTCATGTTGCTGTGAACCTCAATGTGCCCTCTCAAACCCAGGCAAATTAAACCTTGACTTACCTGTATATCTGTTCATAGGATATGGGGATATAGTCACCGGGACTCTGAGTTAAAAGCTGATCTATGGCACCATCCAATTTTGGCCAGTATGTGCTCTTATAATCTTCAATAGTTATAACATTCATTACTAAAAGTAAAAAGTAAAATTAATATTACTATATGCCACATGTAAAATAAACACAAATCACAGCAATTCTGCACTCTCAAATTCCTTTCACTTACTCTCTGATTTCACACTGGCATTCTATCACTCAAATACAACTCAAATTACCAACCCATTTCCAATTAAAAAAAAAAAAGCAACCTGGGCAGGGATTTTAAGCAGACATTAATTATGATTTAAAAAGGAATTACTATGAATCTATCCCTGTTTTAAAAATGAAGACAAAAAAATATGCAATTATCACTGATTTCCTTTCCTGGTTTCTGCAAGCTTCTGTTTATCAGTGGAGTGTTCTCAAACAGGCACTGACCCTCAAAAACACATTGCCAATGATGTGGCAAGATGACCTATTAATAAACCACAATAAAGTTTTGGGAAACCATGACCCCCAATCAAACCTTACAGACACCCCTGGGATAATCTACCTAAGGAAAGGACTTTGGAGATTCAAGGCCAAATGCTAGGGTCACAAAAGAGGGTGCTAGGAACTTGCAGAGATTTATGGCATCGCCAGTACCTCCGAGACATGACCAGAGCTGAAGGTGGCTCTCACTATCTCACACTTTAGATAAGCCCAAAAGAAAAGTTATCCATGAAGTGGAGCCTTACCTCATTCCTAATGGCTGGCTCTTTTTCCTTCACTATGGGTTTAATAAAGCATTTATAACAACTTGTCCTAACAACTTTGAAATGCAGGACCGATAGGTGCTTCCCAACAATAAAAAGAGCTACCCAGAACACCTAAGATGCCCTGTGTCTTATGAATCACAAAAAGAGCTAACAACTACTAGATCAGCCATTTTACTATTTATTTTACTTGAAACTGGGGAACAGAGGGTTGACTTTCCCAAGAGCACACGGCTAATTACTGGCAGAAAAACCAGGTGAAGTAACGACTTTACCTAGCATCCAATTTTAGTCATACAAGTTCAAGATGTTTCTCATACCTACGTGCCACCTCTATCATGTTTGTTCAGTATTTCCTTTAAATACACTCACTTTTTTGGCTTAAGTGTATTTATTTTAAAAGACATCTGGGGAGTGCACTATTGATTTACACAACATGAAATAATCCTAAATGCATTCTGCTAAGTGAAAGAATCAGACCAAAAAGGCTACATATGGTAAGATTGTCACTTATTTATAAAGGCAAAACTATAGAAAGGGAAACAGATCAGTGGTTGCCAGGGAGTGGAAGGTGGAAAGGACTGTCTACAAAGAGTCAACATAAGGGAATTTTTAGGACAATGACTCCACCGCTCCATGCATTTGTCAAAACCAGCAGAACTACATGCTATAAAAAGTACATTCACTGTATGAAAAAAAAAAATGCCTACCAGGATGTAGTGGTCAAGATGGAATGCAAACTGTGACAAATGAATCTAATCTGCAAGTGAATCACATAACCTGCATTAAAGGGAATGGGGAAGGCAATGGGGAAGAAATGAATGTTTTTAACTCACATGAGGTTAAGAACAAAAAGAACTGCCCACGCATGTGCATATGCAGGCACACACAGAAAAGGCAAGGGGAGGCCAGATCCGGGAGGGCCTCATGGGCACTGGAGAGACTTTGGCTTTTACTGAGTAAGACGGGGACATCTGGAGGGTTCTGAGCAGACTAGTGACATAATCTGACTTAGATTTTCTATGGATCATTCCAGCTGCTGCACTAGGAGTAAACTAAGCTAGAAGGCTGCAAGATGACAAGGGGTTCGACCAGGTGGTGGCAGGGAGGGCAAGAGGAGGTCAGATTTCGAATGTATTTTAAGGTAGGGCCAACAAGATTCGCTGATGGTTTGGATGTAAGGTGTGAGAGAAGGGGCAAGGATGACTCCAAAGTTTTTAGCCTGGGATGAGGATGCTGTTGACTAAGATGAGGAAGATGTCGGAGAAGCTTATTAGCAGGTTTGGGAGTGTAGCTGAAACTACTGGAACCGTATCACTTACTCTGTCCACAAAGACCACTGTCAATACCTACCATTCTTTGACTCAGTGTTCTCTCTGGCTGCCAGAGCTGCTCTGCCTGAAGGAGGGGCAGGTTGGATGTTCTGGAGAATGAACACCCCCAGCAGCTGCTATCAAGAAATGACTAACAAGAACTCGGTGTAAACACCCCAGCATTTCCTCTGACTCTCAGTTGAGTGCTACACTGACTCCCAAAGTCCTCACTGGGATTACACTCCAGTTGCCACGGCAGTGACTTCTTCACCAGCTTCCTTACTGTTCCTGTCTCAGTCTCCACTCTCCTGCAGGAATCACCCCCTCTTGTGCTTAAAACTACTTGCATTAAAAAAAAAACTGATCAGAAACAGAAAAGCAGTTATTTACAATATAGAAATAAATAGTGTTATTAAATTCTACTAGGTTCTACTGCCTTTAAAGGTTCTGAGTGACGCTTGCTTTCCCTTTAATAAAAAAACAGAGATCGGCAGATGTTGAGAAGTGTTACCCACTAGCTCCAAAACTCTAACTTTCTGCTTTCAGAAATATTAAAAAAAAATTACCGGAAATAACTGAAAAATAACTTTCTCACTAAGCGATTCTAGGTTACTGAATCTCCAATCAGCATTATCACCTAAACCACATCATACACCTGCTCTACACCAAAAGCTGGGACTTAACAGAAGGGAACTGACACACTCAGAAAGAAAACTTCGAGAACTGAAAGCCAAGAACGAACATGTCAATCCCATCGGCTCCTGGACCGCTGAGTTTAACGAACTACGTCCTATGCTGCTGAGGAGCATGCGTGCTTCTCAAGTGCAGGTTTCACACGTCTGCAAATCAAAGGTATGATGGAGGAAAACATGAAGTCTTGCAGAAGTCCCACTACAGAGCAGTGATTTCTGATGCCTCCCCAGGTGTCTTTCATGTGGCATTAAAAAAAAAAAGTTCTGCTTTTAAATATCTTTGAAAAGAAACTTTCAAGCCAAAATGAAAAAGGCATTAGTCACAGTAGAACATCTTAAATCTTACTTCCAGATCTAAAAAGACACTATTTCCACCTATATAGAAATCTATTTCCACATATATTTTGCTCAAAAAACAAATAAACAGGAAACCAATTCACTTACATGCGGCTATCGTGGAGTGAATGTTTGTGCCCCCCCAAGACTGATGGTGAAATCCCAACCCCCACTGCGATGTCATTAGAAAGTGGGGCTTTGGGGCAATGATTAGGTCATGGGGCGGAGCCCTCATGAATGGATTCAGTGTCTCCAGAGAGCTCCCTCACCACTTTGGCCATGAGAGGACCCAACAAGAAGATGGCATTTTATGAACCAGGCAACAGGCTCTCTCACCAGCCTCCGAATCTGCCAGCACCTTGATCGTGGACTTCCCAGCCTCCAGAACTGTGAGAAATAAATAAGCCATCCCATCTATGATATGATATTCTGTTACAGCAGCATGAACAGACTAAAATACTAGCAAACGTAACTTTCTTCTCAGGAGACCAACCAATCTTCACCCCAGCAGCAGAGGAAAGCAGAACACAGACAAGCATCTGCGGGGCTACAGGGGGTCTGAAGAATGAGCACTCGTTAGTATATTTGCACTTTGAGTCAGAGATTAGGAAGGCTTTTTGTAACAATCTGCAGTCAACACTTAAAATGACAATACAGGAATTGTGCTCTATGCTGGATTTTACACAACACTGTAAAATGACTGTAACTCAATAAAAAAAAGTTTAAAAAATGACAATACAGGAACCTTTAATAAAATATTTAATCCCTTGCTAATCTCAACCCAATCTCTGATTTAAAACAAACAAGACAGATTAGCTGTTTGGGTTTTTTTAACATTTGATACAAAGTGTGTGTGTGTGTGTGTGTGTGTGTGTTCTTGAATTTTAAAACTAGATCCTCCTGTTAGAGAAATGTAATCAGTTGCTTACAACTCTGCCCATAGAAGTTCAGACTGACCAAAAGAAATACAAAGCACTGAACCTAAACAAAAATGAAATTACCATTAAATAACTATATTTTATTTAGGCTAGATTTTCCAGCTTAAAAATAATGCACTATTTTATAAACCATTTTAAAAAGGCATTATAAACTCAAATGCCTTCAAGGCCCAGGCCAGTAACATAAATGATTAAAACAGGACTGGTATAAGAATTAAAAAGAGCAGCGAGCACTTTAGTGAACACATATGCCCTCTGGAGACATTCAAGTTCAAAAATTTTTTAAAACCTCATGTTAGCCTCAAAACATCATGCCATAAGGCTTAAACCTCATATTTTACAAGATAACAAGCTCAAGTAGCTTCAGTCCTATTGAGAAAGTACTTCAACTGACCTTTACTAAAACAAAGCGGAATAAAATCTAAAACACATTGACCAGCTAGTATCTAAGGTTCAGGAAATATTAATAGGTTGCTAATAAATGAGAAAGTGTCAGAGATCTGTGATTCATACCAGGCAGGAATCAGTATGTTCAACTCCCATACTTTTTATCCAAGTAACTAATCAAAACGACATATTATTTGTTTATTATCCATCTTCCTCAGAATAGACACAAGCTCCCCGAAGCAGGGATTCAGTGCTAGAGCCCCAACTCCAAACTAGCACATGGTAGGGGTTTTCAATAACGTATGTGAACTAAACTAATTTAATGGAAGTCAAAATGAATACTTACTATAAAAACCGTCCCGGGCGTAATACTAATTAGTTGTTCTGGAATTAAAGCTTGAAGTGTATTTGGTTTCACACAGGCTAAGGCAAACCAGGTAAACCCTACTAGATACTCCTTTTTACTTTTTTTCTTGTTACTTGTGTGTAAGGGGAGGATATATTCAGAAATTACAGCAGGTATTATCAATGCGTACTTGGTCTGCTGCAAAGAACAGTCATTACCTTCTATCAGGGGCTCTCAAATGTGATACTCAGAGCAGCATCAGCATCACCTGGAAACCTGTTAACTTGATGTAAATGAAAAAAGGCCGGGGAGGGCGGTGGGCAGA